TCATCAATGTCCTCTGGCTTTCTTCAAGCTTCTTAATGAAATGAGCCCTCAACTCCTTCAATGCCTGCATACACAGTAAATAAAGATATCAAACAAATTGATCACTGTTATCCAATGCCAGTATCTCACTGGTTATTTGCAAATAAAGTCTTGTCATCTTAAGTGTCAACCTTGCTAATAGACTTACTTAAGCTCAGGTGAGGTAAATTTTCTAAATTCCCACATACCGGATCTAAAGACTGCAGAATTCAATTGTCCTTATCTCCTGCTGAGTAAACCTCACTGCCACTGCTTCCATCCAATATTCCCATGCTGCTACCTCTCTCTTTCTCCACCCTCTCCTTTATCTTCTCCTTGGTCCAATATTCAATGGGGCTTGTTGAACCCCGGTCAACAGACAATCCCAAGAGGAAATGATGCAAAACCAAATAAATATAGGTTACACTTCTGCAATGACAACATAAAACAAAATTATAGTGTCTGGTAAAAGTATTGACTTACCAGCAGCAAATAAAGACACCCCCCAACATCGCAGGTTCCTTTCTTCTTCTTCTTCTTTGTCATCTTCACAAAGTCTCTTATTTCCTTCCACAGGTTCTTGATTATGTATGTTGACTAATCATATTTTCTAAACCCATCCATCGTGTGACGCATCACTTTTAACAAACTTAAATGTACATTTGTGCTTGATCTAGGACATAAAAAAACTCCAACTGTATAAAGCATAAATAGGAACTCAAAATTGTCATTTTCTGTCCCAGATAATATCCTCTTCAGTTTCTGGGTAAATGAAACCTTCCAATATGTGTCCTTTAACCTCTTATATGTTGGGTCATCCTTATCAACATTAGATTTCACTTCCTCCCCACTGTCAGGTACACCTAGAGACTCATGAGCATCTTTTGCTTCAATTACATCCCATTGCCCCCTAATGGTAAAAAAATGCATTGATGGGTCATAGCATCTCAACAATGACACAAGTAGATCACATGAAAGTTGCTTCACATTCACATTAAGTAAGTTCCCAAATCCCATCCTCTCAACTTTCCGCCTTAACCGCCCTGTTCTTCTTCACATACTCAGCCAATAATTTAAATCCGGGTAATGAGCACCAGATGTACAAGAGAACATCATACTTCTTCTTCTTACCTTTCTCTGGCTTCATTTTGTTTGCCCTTTCATTATACCTATCTTTCTCTTCCTGACTTAGTGCCTTCCATGCCTTCCCCACTTCAATTTTTTCTTCTCTTGCATTTTTACACTTCTCCCCTCGTTTTGCCATATACTCCCTTCTGAACAACACAAGCCCACTGTGTACTCCTTTGCTTGTGAACCCTTCCTCTTCTTCCAACACCATCTCGTATAATTCTGCAAAGTCATCAATGTACGATCATTAAGTCATAATTGTTATATATATATATATACTAAATATCTAGTTCTTTCCAGGTATGTTATGGTCATTTCCAGTTCCTTCATTGTCACTTACAATATGACCATTATATACTGACAGCAAGGATGCTACTATGAATATGGTCGTTTCTAATTAATTCATTATCATTACCAATATAGCCATTACAGACTGACAGTAAGGTCATTACTATAAATATGGTCATTTCCAATTAATTCATTGTCATTACCAATATGGCCATTACAGTTTGACAGTAAGGTCATTACTATGAATATGGTCATTTCGAGTTCCTTTATCGTCATTTACCAATATGTTATTGTCACTTCCAGTTTGTTCATACCAGTCAATCAGACAGTAATGTCATTACTAAGAATATGGTCATTTCAAGTTCCTTCATAGTCATTTACCAGTATGTTATCGTCATTTCCACTTCGTTTATATAATCTTTCCAGTCAATCAGACGGTAAGGTCATTACTATGAATATGGCCATTTCAAGTTCCTTCATAATCATTTACCAGTATATTATTGTCATTTTCAGTTTATTCATATAATCTTTCCAGTCGATTAGACAATTTTCCTACTGATTTGAAAACCCATTTTTCCCTGTATCATAGTTCTCACCTTCGTTATAAAAAACAAATAGCATACCATAGAGACTCAGCATAAACCCTTAATCACCATTCTTGTCATTCACAAACTTCATCGCATCATATCTAAATATTGTCTAATCATTGCTTCCCCTACTGACCCAAAAACTTTAACCACAGCACGAAACTTAAATGTCTAGACTTACCTCAGTGAAATGCCGTTGATGCTTGTTAACTGCAATGGTGAATCACCAAGCGCCAACCTTCGTCCTTCCATGCAATTAGACAAACACGATCACGTTCACCCTTCAAACAGCACACCCTTCCACTTCAAACTCCTTTGCTCTCTTATGCACACACTATTTTGGGTTCATCAACTATCCAACTTGCCGGTGCTTTTAGGGCAGCAACATGGATGGTGGAAGTGAGAAACCAGGAAGCACGAGTGGCAGTTCATGCCTCTCTCTCTCTCTGCTTTCAAACTCTAACTGACAAAAGGGCTTTTTGGTAATTACTCAACATTTGCATAATTCCAAATCAGGCACCACTTCCCTATTTGTCAATACATTTGCTAAGCTTCCTATTTTAGCATTTCACATTTTCAGGCTTCTTTATGTGTCATTTTTCCTATTTAAAAAGATTTTAAAAATTATTCAATTAATTTAAAATATTTATATTTATTTTTTTTCAAACTAATTTGTCATACTTATAAATTGATATATAATCTAATAACCAATAAGTCATTGGTTGAGATGATAAGCACTCCCACCCTCATAAAGAATAGAATATATGTTTGAATTCTGAGAAGTGCAATTGTTCTTGGGAGGACTTTAATCTTTACACTCCCTGTCTGATAGAGATTAGTCTCAAGTTCGAAATGATTTGAGGATACTTTAAATCATATGATATATATAAATATTTTAGAGAGATTATGTAATATGTGTTGTTTTATACAACATTTAACATACATTACAATTAAGTACTCTTCTGATACTAAATATAAGACCCATTTCGTAGTGTAAAATTACACTACGAAATGAGTCTTATATTTAGGACCGGAGGAGTAATTCGTAACTTAATTCCCCCAAATTAATTACTTGAGTCATATATTAAGATCCGCTGGTAATAGTTAAAGATTCATGGTTATTGGTATTGTAAGAACCAAAGGCCATAAGTCTCTCCGCCCACTATACGTGGCTCCTAAGCTCATTTCATTTTTTTAGCAACATTGTGCAAAATGTTGTCAGGACTGCAAGCTGAATCATATATCAATATGAATTGGTGTTATCTAGTGATACTCTCATGTCCCTTATTTTATTGAAATCATTGACTAGTATTTACTATTGTTTTTTAGGACTGCAAGCTGTAATAAGATGACACTTAAATTTTAGTTGGTCTTTAAAGTGTTGAACGTCTTTTAGAAATATAGGTGAAAATTTATGTTTTATCTATTTTAAATGTTGCTAGACTAGTGTTTGTGTTAGTATGTTATAATGTGTTTTTTGTTTTTAAAATTTTGGGCCCTCATTTTGATCTTGACTCGGGATTAGTTGATGGTTTTATACGTATATATTCCTTAGTTAAATTAATATTAAAAAAAACCAAATAAATAAAAAAATTATAACGAGGTCCCATATATAATTATTAAAAAATTCTAATATTTTTTAATAATTATGTTTTTTATTTAATATATTATTATAATTCTCCCCAAATACAATAAATTCATTTCCCTCGCTTCACCCCTCCCGCGCTCGCTTGCTCTTCCCTCACTCTGCCCTGCCCTAACCGTTCTTTACTCTGTTTCACTTCACCCTCACACTGCCCTTCCTCGTTCTTGATCAGACGTCGTGGGTCTATCGTGTCGTCACTGTGAGGTTCTGGCGTCTCATTCGTTCAGTCTCGAGGCTGTGCCGCCGTTGTTCTCGCTATTCTCCCAACTTCCGACGCTGGTTTTGTGAGTTGTGCATTTGGTTCCTTTCATTGAATGTGATTTATTTGTTTTGGCCTGCCTGATTCCTTATTCTTCTCTGGCTAGCATGAATCCTCGTTTGTGGCTGATTTCTTGTTCTTGTCTGATTTTCAGTACAATTGACCAAAAATGACTAGGCTTGATTCGATTAATTGTGGAGAGAGCTGGTTGCTTTCTGGAAATCCCGTACGAAATAGAAGGCGATCTATATGCACACATACATATATATGTATATATATTCTCTTTTGCTGTCATGGTTCTGAAAAGACTCGAGGAGACTTTATCATTGAAGATATACGTACACACGCATATATATATATATATATACACATGTATATGTATGTATGATTTTGGAGACTAGACTAGTTATTTAAGAATGTATGTAGTTATATTTATGCGAGTTTTATATGATATTTGACGAACTAATTGTAATGCATGTTGAGATCCGCAGAATGCACGAGTTAGGCCTTGTATATCTGATGGCAAGCAGAACATGATCAGTATAGTATTCTCATATTAGACTTTTAGAGAATTAATTATATCTTAGACTTCTATTTAAATAGTTTTAGCCATTTGATACTTCAAGGTTTCTGTTTTGTAGGTTTAGCATAATAAATTTCTACTAACTATAATGTATTCAGAGAGTATCGCTTGACTGATTTATAAGGCTAGGTTCATAATGTAGCATTGGAAATGCGAAAATTTTCTTCTCTGTTCTTCTGTAGTTTTATATATGTCTTGCCAACAAAGAAAAGAGAAGAAGAAACTAAATAGGTCTATGTGTACTATAATGACTAGTTATTCTTATTTGTCTTGAGGGAATACTATGCATATCAAATTCAAATCTACCATAACACTAGTAATTCACTTGGTCAGTTGTGATTCTCTTAAATAATATCTTTGTTTTCTATATGTTTTTCTTAAGCTTTAAAACCTGACTATACACATACACACATATCCCTCTTCATTTTGCATTTATACTAATAATCACATGAAACTGATCATTGCTTTATGCCTTAGGACGAACAGTGAAAGATGGCATCATCATCATCATCAAAAGTGAGCTTGAAGTTGCTGATAGACACTAATGCCGAAAGAGTTCTCTTTGCTGAAGCTTCAAAGGAGTTCGTTGACTTCCTGTTCAACCTCTTTCGCTTACCGGTGGGCACAGTGACGAGGCTTCTAACAACAAATGGCATGGTGGGCTGCTTAGGCAAACTCTACAAAAGCATAGAGAATCTCAGTGATGACTATCTGAACAATCCAAAGCAAAGCAAGGACATTGTGCTGAGGCCAAGGTCTCCATTAGTTTCTGGCTACCTTCTACCTCCAAGTGTTTATAAAAAAGTTGATACCAATTCAGGAGCTTTAAATCTATACATGTGTGGGAGGCGTTGCAGTAATGCTGTGACTTATGCTATGAACACTTCGTGTCCAAATTGTGGATATGGAATGAGCTGCGCTGTAAAATTTGTGGGTAGTATTGAAAATAATACTCGAGTGAAAGATTCAAGTGAAGGCGTAGGTGGAGGCTTTGTGAAAGGAGTGGTCACTTACACAGTGATGGATGATCTTGAGGTTCTTCCCATGTCTACCATTTCAGCAATAGCAATGATCTCCAAGTTCAATGTCAGGGACATTACTTCCTTGGAAGAAAAGGTTGTTGAGTTGGGGATAGAAGAGGTGAGACTTTTATTTTCATTTTCCCTGTTTCTTGCTTTCTTTATTTTTTTCTTTCTTGATTAGTTAGGATCTGATATGTTAGTCTAGATTGAGCTGACCGCAAATGGAGGGGCCTCTCTCCCAAATATGTTTAATCAGTTTCCCTTAGAATATGGTTTGTATTAAAGACAATAATTGATGGTGGAAAAGTTCCTTTGAATCTAAATATAATCTGTCCAAAATCAAATCTAGACATATGATGATAGAACTATATGTGTTTTTTTTTTTACTCTTAATTACTCTTCAGTTACTTTTGATCTTGCTTACTTAATTTGATGCCTTTTTTTCCCCAAAAAATAAAATTGTTATGTTCTTCTCATATATATTTTTTCATTTGTAGGGTGTCAAGCTGCTGAAGGCTTCCCTGGAGTGCAAGAATGCTTTGACTAGGGTTTTTCTCAAGAATATGGCAGCATAAGGAAGCAAGGAATTCCTCAAAACCTTGAAATTGACATGTTGATACTTGCTCGCTTCCTTTTCTTTCGTGTGTTTTAGTCTTTGTTTTTTTTTTTTTTTTTGGTGGGTAACTCTTTAGGCCGAATGAACTTGTTATATCGACTCAACCATATATTTGCATAATGGGTTGAAATTCCAAAAACTTGAACACTGGCTGCATCACAAACATTGTATGATAGTATATGATCTTTAGCTGGTCACTTTTTATTTGCTATCTGTTACAATCATTCATGTGCACTTATACATACTAGTGATTGAACCAACGGGTGTTTATGAAAATAGTGATCACTGACTTAGGTGATAAGCAATTGTTATTTACTGTTACTTTCAACTTTTAATATAAGAGTTAAATAACTAATTTAATAATATTAAGAAAATTAGTTATATTGGTTATTTGTCATAAATATATGTTAATCTTCTTAAACTATTATTTTTAATCATGTGCATTTGATGATTAAAATTATCCATCGGTAGGAATTTCTTATAATCAATGAGAATATTTTGAAGAAAGATAAAAAACAAAATAAATTGAGGTCTTATATTTATGATTAAATATATTTTTTAATTAGTTTTTATATTAAGAATTAGAGGTTGTATGCTGCATGTTATATAGTTGTTCACTAACTTGACAATAAACATAAAACTTGTTAATGCAACAATCTTTATTGTTTGTCACGAGCTAAGCTGTTTGTTTCATTTGTTAAGCCGAAGTTGCTAGGTCCAGTTGTTTCACGTATCTTAAAGCTTGATGGTTGTGATATACTCCTCCGGTTTTAAATATGAGATTTATTTATAATGTAAATTACATTATAAATTAATTTTTGTATTAAAGACTAAAGGATTACATTATTTTGGACCACATAAGAAATCAACTTTAGTACAAGTTATGTTGTTTTATCATAAATCTTTATTACAAAGAGCTAACAGCCAAAAAAAAGAAAAGCAAGTAAATTTTCATGATTTTGAAAGATTAAATTTGTTTTCTTAAATAAAAAAAAAATTGAAGGAATACGAGAAAAACTCAATCATATTTCATTACTATTAATTCTTTTGCCATGATCAAGTTTTCTTTTCTTTTTTCTTTTTTGGGATACTTACACGTGGTTTTATTTCTAGGTCGGCTGCTTGGACGCGATTTCAACCTGAAGATTCAAATCATGTGTCATTTTTTACTTACGTACTTTTACCACATTAATTAAAATGTTTTTTTCGCTCTTTATGTGCCACTAATACTCTAACACTATCGTATAAAATCTAAAGCCAGAAAGTCTATAATAACAATAATATAATATTGTAATGTTATTTTCAAGGAGCCAGGGGTCAATGAATTAATCACTTGATGTCAATTAAAAAATGGAATTAATCACTTGTTTCTGCAATCGTTAAAGCCTAATTCTAGGATTAATCATTAGGTGACACCTACAAATTCAATCTGAGTCCTAAAATTTTGTCTGTTTGTGAGACCTTGCTCAAGAAATTAAGGAGAATGACTCAATTAATAGGGTGTGAACGTACTTTATAAAGTCCGCGTTTGATTTTATAAAAAAACAAAAAAGGTCCGCGTCTGATAGATAATAATATTTTTTAAAAAAATAAAAAAGATAGATAAGATAAGATCCTCCACGCGGTTCCGTGTAAGTTATTATTATTGGTATTATTAGTCTCTCACATCAGATTTTGGCTTCGTTAGTGCCTTGGATGAAAATATAATATAAATTAAAAAACGTATGTGACCACTTAATTAAATTATTTTAATTTTGCACAGTAGCAAAGTTAAAAATTTAATTAAGAAAAAAAACATAGATATCAAAAAATCAAATTAAAAATCACATTAAAATATAGGTACTTCCAAAATGATTTTCTCTTTTTAAAAAATTTTTCAAAAAATTATACTACTTCCGGTCCTTAATATAAGAGCTATTTGACTAATTTAAGTAAATTAAAAAATTAATTTAGTTATTTATAATAAATAGATGTTGTATATCCTTACTAATTAAATGTCATTTGATTAAACATTTAATATGTGTAACCATTACAAGAATTACTTTGAAAAAAATTGATAAATATGAGAGACAAAATGAATTGGGATCTTATATTTAAAATCAAAATAAAAATCAAACTAACTTTTATATTAAAAACTGGAGATATTATTTGTTAATCCATTATTCCAAGAATATCAAGGTAAAAATTTGAGAGAAACGGAATTAAAATAAGTTACAATTCACCATTTTTTCTAGAGACAACTCTGCTTTCTAATATTTTTTTGCCAATGTTCATTATTTCTAATCTAAAAACAAACTTTAAATTATTATAAATAGGGTTTCTTTTTTTTTCTTCCACCAACATAAACGAGGTGTCTGCCACTATTAGGAATTAGAACTTAGCATGTGTATATGCTCATAGATATAAGTGGGAGTTGAGAGATTTAATTTGCTTATAAATATAAAACCTCATTTCACTTTGTTTTCAAAATTTATATTTTTTTCAAATTATTCATTTTTTTTTAGTATAATCAAGTTATTCCTTTTAATTGCATATATCAAAAGGGATTCCATCAATTGAAGATAATAATTTGAAGAGGTTATTTTAGAAAAACAACATATATATATTTGTTATAAATAAATAAAAATTAACTGATTTCTTTTAATATCAATAAATTAGTTATTGAGCTCCAACATTTTTTAAATCAGAGGGAGTATCAATCAATTATTGGGAACTTTATTGGCTTTTCTCTATTCTTTTTTCACAAGTTTGTACTACATTAGTGCCAAAACTTCGTGATTAAGCAATTCACTTAGGACACGCAACTTCACCTATAAGTATGATCCTAACATAGTAAAAGCAAACAACGACAAAATCACATAAATATTGATGATCTCTCTTTTTATTTGTCGTAAATGGAGGCACTGACTCTTGTTCTTCCCTCACGGAGCCGGACATCACCGGCATCATCACCGTCTTGCCGGAGAAGACGCACGGCGGTTGTGAGAGCGAGTGGAGGAAGAGAACACCAATGGGGAAGAGTGGTTGACGAAAACATGATCGTGCTGAGACTAAGAATAAGAGAGATGAAGATGAAGGAGAAGAAGAAAGAAGAAGAAAATGAAGAAGGTTACGGAATGATGGATCAGTGGGAGAGAAAGTATTATGAAGGGCAGTATGGGGAACATGTTTGTGCAGTTGTAGGGTTGTTGCAGAGTTACTTGATGAACGTAAGGCCATGTTTTGCTGTGGGGATGCTGCTTCTTGTTGCTTTCAGCGTCTTTTTATCTTCTGAGTTGCTTCTCTTCAACTCTGTCGACATGGTGAAAGCCCTATTTTCTTCACTCTTTGGTTTAAGGGGAGAGGTACTGCATTAGCTCTAAAGCTAAATTTGCTTTGTAATTATACCACATCCGATTTTAATATAAGAGTTAGTTTAGTTTTCAGTTTAGTCATAAATATAAGATCTCAATCCATTTTGTCTTTTATATTTATTTATTTTTTTAAAATAATCCTTATAGTAGTTGTACATGTTAAATGTTTCATCAAATGGTAGTTTTAACTAATACACGTAATTAGCAAGAGTATTTTAATAAAGATAATACATATTTATGACTAATAATTAACTTAACTAATTTTCTTAATATCTTCAAATTAGTTAACTAAATCTTATATTAAAAACCAGAGATAGTATATCTTATGTACAATCACATCGTTTGTATGGAAGACTCACTTTAAATATGAACGCTATCATACCAAACAAACATAAAACTATAATTGAGTATAGTAATAACGGGTTTAACACTCTTTTATGCTCATTTAATGTTTTTTATTTTTATTTTATTGCTTTTTATCTAAAGTAAACATGCTTGACATATTTTTGAAATTTGAAGGGTTCTTATAGGTATGCTAAAATCTCATTTGTAAACTACAAACAAGGTTTTATAATTAAGACCGAACATAATATTCAAAAACCGTTCATCAATGAGATTCACACATGTTATGGACTGAGAAGATCGGGGATCTATCTCTCTGTAGATAAAGGAAAGTATGTGCTTATGAATGGGCGTGTAGGTAATAACTGCTATGAGGATGCTTCGGAATTAGAATACGTGTAAAAATTGGAAATAAAATTAAAAAAAAAAAAAAAAAAAACCCGCACATTCACTTGAGTTGAGACAACTAGGTACTATATTATATTCAAACATACAAGGCATGTCAGCAATGATAGCACCCGGAACCTTTTTAACAAGGCCTTTGGTGCTACTATAATATAAAATAGCTTGAGCGTTTTCATTTAATTATTAATCATTATAGTGGCATACAGTCAATCTAATCGACCTGTTACTTGTTTTAAATGGAGTATTTTCATTTGAAATAATAAAAACAAGATGATCAAAAATATTTTGTTAAAAGAAGTCTCTCTTCCAACTTCCGACATACCAAAGGACAAATACAAATCATAATTTTTTTTTTGGGGGAAAATGAAAAATAAAGATCATAGAAAATATAAAATTTTGATTTGAAGTCTTGAATATACTGATTTTTTATTATTGATTATAAAAATCTTGTTATTTTCAAATAAAGACTAGTTATTTCAACTAAGTTAAGTTATTATGTTTGTAATTGAAATAACAAGCCTTTAATTGAAAATAACAAGTTTAATATGTAAATTTAATAAATTTATAATTAGAAATAACAAGTTAATTCAGTTGAAATGACAAGTGTTAACTTTAACATAATAAATTTGGTATATGCATTTGATAAGTTTGTAACTGAAAATAATAAGTTAAGTTTTTTGAAATAAAAAATCTTTATTTAAAAAATAACAAATTAAGGAAGGAAGCACATCTCTCTTTTTTTTAACCAAGAATCATATTTTCCCACAATTCACATTGGATTAATAAGTCCTGATGATGAAATTATAGGTATGAAGTTCAGAATACCAATAACTTTTTTAATACAAAAAAAAAATATTATTTTCATAATTTACTTGGGAATAACAAGTACTGAATATAAATGGACAAATATAAGGTTGAGATCATCAAGTTTTTTTTAACATTATAATTTATACTTTCTGTTAATTAAAAATACTTTTTATCGTTTAAAATTTTTTTCGTTTGATTAAAAAGTATTTATAATTTAATGTTATGAATGACATTATTTTTAAAATTGACATGCAAATAACAAGTCCTAAGTTGAGAGTCTTAAAAACATTTTTAATGAGAAAAATGACATCATCTCCACAAGTGATTTGAAAATAATAAGTCTTAATTATGAAATCACAAATATGGAATTCAGAATATCATTAATGTTTTTTAGTGCCAAAAATGATATCTTTTTGACAAATGACAATATTTTGGTCTTTTTCCTGTCATTTTATATTTTCTATTTGGGTTTGGATCTTTGACAGAAATTATATAAATTAATAAGTTTGTAACTGAAAATAATAAGTTAAGTTTGTTGAAATAACAAATCTTTATTTTAAAAAAATAACAAATTAAGGAAGGAAGCACTTCTTCTTCTTCTTTAACACCAAGAATCATATTTTTCCACAATTCACATGAGACTAATAAGTCCTGATGGTAAAATCATAGGTATGAAGTTGAGAATACCAATAACTTTTTTAATACAAAAACTAACATTATTTTTATAATTCACCTAAAAATGACAAGTCCTAAATGTAAAATGACAAATATAAAGTCGAGATCACCAAGTTTTTTAACATTATAATCTATACTTTTTTTGTGTTGCCCACCTAATTTACCGGAGCTTTACTCCGATTATATCTGGATCCGACCCGCATCGCGCACCTGGCTGTGGTGGGTGAGTCTCCCAACGGGAATTTCTACATACGCTGAGACTTGAACTCGAGATCTCGCTTAAGCGGTACCAAACCGCTTAAGCGGTACATTATAATCTATACTTTTTGTTAATTACAAACACTTTTTATCATTTAAAAAATAATTTTTGCTCGATTAAAATTTATTTATATTTAATGTTATGAATGACATTATTTTTAAAATTGACATGCAAATAACAAGTCTTAAGTTTAGAGTCTTAGAAACGTTTTTAATGTAAAACATGACATTATTTTCACAAGTGGCTTAAAAATAATAAGTATTAATCGTGAAATCATGAGCATGAAATTAGAATACTACTAATATTTTTTAATGCCAAAAATAAGGTTTTTTTTTACAAATGAGAATATTTTGATCTTTTCCCATCATTTTATAATTCCTATTTGGGTTTGGATCTCTAACAGAAATCATGTAAATTTAAGAATCCAAATCAGAATTTTGTATTTCGTCTTTTTGTTTAGATCAAAAAATTGACAAAGGTCCCAATTGGACCGCTCATTTCAACCGCGAGCACGCCACGACACGACACCACGATACGCGGAAAAGCAGAGGAACTGTTGTTTACCATCTTTTTGGTTCGCGCGTGCTCATATGGGCGCGTCCGCAACTCGGGTTTCTACTGGCATCGGCTTTGGTAATGGCTCCTTGGAGTTACATGCGAGGCTGCGACCGCGACAGCACTCAATCTGTTGCTTCGTTTTAAGGATCAGAGTCCGCTGTAGGGTAAAGGCTTCAGCTTTCTTCTCTATCGGAAAATCCCATTTCGTTTTCTCCAAGTCTCTTTTTCCTTGGTATGTATTATCCTTTCCTGATTCGCCGTACCTTTTCGAGCCTCTTGGTCTAACTTTCTGGGTTTTCTTCTACATTTACGGGATTCCCAGTTTGAGTGTGGGTTATGTTTATAGCTTGATTTCTGTTCTTCGTAATTTCATCGAGCTACATTTTCTGAATTGGGCTTGCTTTCGTATTCCTCCCTTTTGTCTTGAAGATTTTCTTCCCCAAATATCGAGGTTTTTTAAGTCGATAGAGGGTGAGCACTTCCCATTAGGTTTCTGTTTCTTCTGTTCTTTCTGATTCATCAGCTATGTGATTCTCGGCTGTTGTGCTTTACTTCAAAAATTCTTTCGTGCATTGCATGTGGCCCCCGTCTCCGATCAACGCAGCAATACGATTTCTTCAAAGTGGGCGTGTCAATTGGGTCTATACTTGCAATGTACCTTAGAATTTTTCTTCATGGGCTTATGGTGCTTTTCTGCCGGCTCTACTGCTGTGTTCTTGCACTAGTGACACCTTTCTGTCGTTATAAATGCTATTTGAAAGCACGATTGTGTTTATTTTTGTTTTGAAAAACTTCTCCGTTGACTAGTTCATCAAATACAATTGTAATAAAAATTCATCGCAGTAGTGGAACTGGAATAAAACAGTCTGAGTGGTTACTTGTTTTGATTATTTTCCGTTGGTGAAATTGGTTCTGGAATCATATATGACTTACCCGAACAAGAGAAAATAAAAGGAACTGAACTTGAGTACTCGAAGGGTGATTTTTGAACTTGACATGACAACATTTTGGCTTCCTAATAATTAAAAACGTGATATTTTCGTTTTCATTTTCAACGGTTAAATTTCAAGTTTTATGGACTCATCGCTCTTCATTCATGTTGAATTGAATTCTTTTTGCCTATTGCAGATCTTTTCCTGTACTTTGTTGTGAGTTTCAACTTCACTAGAGGTATATATTGTATAACGACTGTTTAGATGTTATTTTCTTTCATTACTTCTTTTACTTCCCCTCTTTACAAAGCTCATGAACTGCCAAATGTAGCAGCTCTTGAAGGATAGAAAAGCGGAGACTTGCTGTAAAACAAAAAGAGACTGCTTCATGGGTGGGTCGAAAATACAATTTTGAGCGAATTGATGAAAATAAAGTAAGCTAACAATTTTTTACTTGAATCATTGGAGCCATTTAACTTGGGTCCTCATTAATTACTAAGTACACAAGTTAGTGTTTTAAATAACAAACTCGTTGCATAATAGTCCTCATGTCAAGTAGCTTAGAGATTCCAAATGGACTAATGTGTGATGAGATTGTCATTTTTGAGGGCCAATCAGTGTGTTCACTAATTTTGGAGATTGAAGTTAAATACACTTGTCGATTTAGGGACCAAATTGCTAGTTTACTTTAAGTTCTTTTGCTATTAGTAAACATTGAGAGATCATGTTCTTTTGGTTGATCAGCTACTCAACGAAGCTACTCTGAAACCTGATTTTGAAAATGGAAGGAGCTTGTGGCCGGCAAAACCTTCTTAATTAACTATTTGAGTTCTGCATGAAATGGATGGGGCAAATAGATTATCTACCCATAAATTGGTACAGTGTCGGATATGTCATGATGAGGATGAAGACTCGAACATGGAGCCTCCCTGTTCTTGTAGAGGCAGTTTGAAGGTAAGAGTGCTTTGTAATTAAATACTTTTCCAGTGAAAGTCGTGAAAGGTGGTTGCACTGCTTTATATTTCATGTAAGATCTCATCATTTATATTTCTGTTACTGATTAATTTGTCAAGTTTCACACAAATTCCACAGCCAAAAGAATTTGCTGCGATTTCATAATTGTCGTAATGCTGTGTATTCTTCAAAATGAACATCTCCTTGAGCTTTAGCTCATTTCTCCCAATTTATTCTAGGTGTTGATCATAAAATTGTAAGCTTAGATGCCTTCAACAGTCAACTTATATTCATAATTTAATCAAGATATGCTTCTCTAAGGTATTCTTATTGTGATGTTATATATCTATTTATTGCCTCTTGACTGGTATGGTTTTAGAGTTTATCTGAACAAGATTCAATATTGGTGTTTAGGTGCTTGTTCCATCTGAGTTTCCTTTTCTTTTGATTATTGTAGTATGCACATCGAAAATGTGTTCAAAGATGGTGCAATGAGAAAGGTGATACTATCTGTGAGATTTGCCAACAGGTCTGTAATCAATGTATTTGCATGCTTGTTTTCTCATTGAAGTTATTCATAGTCATAAACACATGCTTTGTTTAAGCTCCTTCATTTGTCTGGGCTTCGGTAACTGTAGCAATTCAAGCCTGGTTATACAGCACCGCCTCCACTATTCCATTATGGTAATTCCCCATTGAATTTTAGGTACAATCCTTTTTATCCATCACCATATTCATAGTCCTAGTTCCTATGTATTTTCTTTTCTTTGATCAAGTGTCTTGGCATTGTCATCTCAGAGGTAACTGGGAGATATCCAGAAGGGATCTGCAAAATCATCAGTTCATAGATATGTTTGCTGCTGCTAATCGAGAACTCTCAGACACTGATGAGGAATACTCAGTACCCTCGACAGGGAGCCTGGTCTGCTTTCGCATTGTTGCAATTATTGTAATTTCCTTGTCTTCCTTGATGCCTCTTTTACGGGAAAGGATTGTCTTGCTGATTTGAGCCGATCTAGACTGTAAAAATTCATTCGAGCAGTCTATATTACATTTTTTCATTTATTCCCCATACTCATTTGTGCAAGTTCACAATTAAAAGACTACTTTTATTCTCCATCCTCCTTCCTTTAAATGAAAGAGCATTTGAACTCTGAATTTTTCCTTGAAACTAGAAAAACAGAATGAGTATTAGGATAACTTTCTAGACCGCATTTTTGGTCCCTGAGCATTTGCATTACTTTTATGCAAATTATCAGATGAGAAAGACATGTTTCTCATACCATACTAACCATGAGGTTGTTTCCTTATGCTTTTCAGTTTATCGCTCTTCTTGTTTTACGCCATACCCTTCCAATCATACTCAGTGGAGGAGGGGAATACTCGTTGACTATTTATATGGTAAAGGAAGATGGAGAGTATTTTCATTCATATAATAAAAAGTTGACCAACTTCTGAGCCAGTCATTAATCTAAAAGAAAATCTTACTTTTATGGATTGCAGTTTCTGTTCATGAGAACAATCGCAGTACTTCTACCTGTATGTATAATGGTAAAGGTATTTACCATTATCCAAAGGAGACGATTCCAGGTTGGTTAATCTAACCTTTTTCTTATTAAGGTGGTAGACAAAAGCAATTCTTGAATGTGGTATTCAACTCCAGGGATGAACTGAAATAGAAATCTTTATTGATTCAAGGGAATTAATGCTTGATTTTGAAATTTCTATCACTGCTGACTCGCTTCGGATCTTATGTAGTTCTAGAAGTATCTATGTCTGCTACACTGCTTACTCTAGAATAGAGAAAGAGAGAAGAAAAATGAGTGTAAAATGGAAGTGGAACCCAGACATAGGTATAATATTTTATAACCATGTTAGTTTGAGGATAATGATTCTCCCACATGTCAAGGGTTCAATGTGTGGTTACATGATTAAAGAAAACCCTTCGTGATTGGCTAAGGATTGTTGAGTAATTTTCTTTATCTGAGGGAAAGGAAGGACCAAAAAAAAAAAAAGCTTTTCCTGTACATTTCTTGCACAAATATACAGCATTCCAGATTTGAATTTGATTCATAGGTTTATTCTCTCTGAGGCTAGATCTGTGCTTTCGTAACAGGATCAGTACTCCTCTATTCTGCAACATGAGGAGAATGAGTTGGAACAGCCTCAGTCTCGTGTCATTCATATCTTGTAAAGGTCTCAAGGTAATATCTGCTATCACGTGGAGATATTGTTTTTGGTCCTTAATATAAGATTTACCCAATTTATTTGAATTGATTAAGAAAATTAATTAAATTAGTTATTTGTCAAAAATATGTGTTGATTTCCTTAAAATATCTTCTTAAATCATTTGCATTGAAACTACGCATTGATGTAAACTGCTTTGACATGTGCAATCAATAGAGATAGTTTAAGAAAATAATGATAAGTACGGCAAACAAAATGGATCGAGGTCTTATATTTAAAATTATATTTCAACTACCCCTTATAGTAAGGATCAAAGGTATCATATAGGCTGAGATGTTGAAAGATTTCTGCTTTCATCCTCACATTGAGAATTTGATTACAGTACTTAATTTGTGCTTTGTGATTTTTTTGTGAACATTGGATGAAGATTATTGCTAATGATGAGAAGGTGTGGATGGAACAGACCAGCACGGTGAAGGGCACTCTTTGATCTGATGGTCACTTGGGGATTGATTGTTCAATATTTCCATGATTATGATGGCGAACTAGGCAGGATGAATTGCAGAGTCAATTACTTACTAGGCCGTCATTTCGATTAAATTATTTGATGTAATCAGAGACAACGGTTGTACATATGTAGATATAATGGGTGGGGCGGGAAACATATTAACAACGCCATATATTTTACTTCTCAAATGTTAAAATCATACATGTATTATTATATTGTTATTTTATTCTTTGCTCTTTTTTTTTTTCCGAAAATTTAGGTGCAAAGTCATTGCCGCGATAACTTATGTTTCCATAATTGAATTGACAGAATGGGAATTAATCAATCAAAGCCACATTTGATTCTTGTGAGTTTCTTCGCCCAGTTTCGAGTAGGTTTATTATTTTTTCGTTGACCTGAAAGAACAAGTTTACGTATGCAAATATTATCATTCTTGCTTACAAGAGGTGTTTAGCCCGCTAGGGTAATGTTATTTTTATCTTTTACTTGTATAACTTGGCAACTCGCATGCATTTATACGTTGCACAATGATTTGAAAAATGAATAATAATGTAACTAGCTAGCAAGTATTTACCCCCGATACAAAAGATTCGTTGCAATTAAGTACCATCTTGTTTGGCCAAAAAGTTTGACCATTATCTCGACACAAATTTTGAGGTTACACTTCAAATCCAATTTTAAATGAAACAACTAACCCACTCAAGTTTTCAACATTTTCCACAATTTTTCAGATGAAAACAGAGAACCCTACAGATCAAGTACTTGCAACATCTATAAGAATCTACTGCTATTTTCAACGTGTTTCAGCATAACATTTTCTAACAAGCAATTGTATACTTCATTTTTCAACCAGAACCATTAAAGCTAAAATCCTACCCAAGATACAAACTTATATTCTCCTCAAGGATAACCATATTTCAACCTCTGTAATCTTCAGAAGATTGTGTCAATCAACTAAACACCGTGGTAAGTACTTCAGGAAAACCATCCAAATAGGGAAATTTTATAACATCACGACCCAACGATTTAAGACAAACATAAGCAAGCAATACGAATCATATATGGTAACTGACACGCACGAGTCTCAGCCCTGCATGGGTCCACCAGAGTCGACTATAAAATGCAACAAATCAGAGTCCATATAGCAAGGCTCAACACATACATAGGGCCAAACAGACCCTTTATTTGAAACTGAAGACACAAGCAACAAAATAGAACCAAAGACAAACTAAGCACAACGCATTACTCTTCCTCTGACTCTGATTCTGCATTCTGAAGCCACTCGATGAATGGTTGAGCATTCTTCCATATCTTAGAGTCCTTGGAATCTCCCTTGAGCCCTTTCTGATACCATTGCACTATGTGCTCTTCTTCCAGCACATCAGCATCATAAAGTGCCTTCAGCACTAAGGCAACCTCCTTCAAAGCATTGGAACTGCCCTTGCAGCAGAAGTCCTCAACTGCATGGAGCAATAGCATCTGCGATCCTTCCTCCCCAGCAACAGCAGCAGCAAGGTAGCTCCTCTTCTTGACAACTTCCTTGGTGAATCCTTTCTCAACCCCAGAAAGAAGGGCCTCAAACAAAGCACTCATTTTTTCCTGAGAAGATGCAGAAAGAGATGCTAAATGGTGCTGAAGTTCCTTCGCAGATACACCTTTCTGCAAAGCAGATTTGACTTCCTCAACAAGAGACCTGTATGACATTGAGGTCCCATTCTCAGACCCACCATTAACCTTGTTAGCTGCTTTTGCCTTCTTCTCTGGCTCTTCCGTAGAGAGCATAACCATATCAGCTGTCACAGCACTTAATTGTTCCTGGATGCGCTGGCGAGCAGCCTCCAGTGATGTATCTGTTTGCCACTGGACATCATGATCCTCTTCCTCTTCAACACGAGGTTCCTCATGAACCTGACCATGAGTAGGTGATGCACGGTCCTCATCAGAGCCAGTGGATTTCTTTTTTGATTTTGTAGTTCCATCCTTGGAAGAGGAAGAACCCTTCTTCTTACCCTCCTTTTTCAATTTTTTCAGTTCCTCATCAGCTGCTTCACCTTCTTTCAGTCTCTCCTTCTCAGCTCTCCTCATCGCCTTCTTGTCTTTGGACCCTTTCTTGGATTCAGGAGGATTCTTGATTATAAAGGTGGTCAGCTTGTCTCTCATGTCCACATCTGACACAAAGCCGCAGGCAGCACATTTCAGCTGGATCATTTGACTCTTGGTGATCATGATCTCCGTTTCAGGATTCCCACAACCATAACACTGAACATATTTCTTAATGAAGTTCTCCAGAAGACCAGCAAGCTTTGCAGTATCATGTGCCCCATTAACATGAGAAGTCCCAGCTTTCTCATCGAATTTGGATTGAGCTCCAAGCTCACAACCAAAATACTTGGTTGTGTAAGAAGCTGGCCTTGCCAAAGCCTTTGCAATATCAACCATATTAACTATGTTGGTTTTGATGCCATTACCTCTGCCCTCGATTTTGGTGATCATTTTGGGCATCTTATACCTGTAGAAGGCATCATCACTGTTTCCAGCTCCAATGTTTTGCAATGCCATGATGACAAATAGTGAAATTCCAAAAGACAAACTAGATATCACAGGCAAAAAAGCTTTGACTTTGGAGTAAAAGCGGTAGCAGAGTTGGCTTTTAAAGCTGCAAGGACTTGTGCAGAAGACCCTCCTCTAACTATAGGAGGTTGCCACCAGAAGCAACCACAGAACTCAGTGTATTCCTGATATGGCTCGAGATGCATGCAGCTGATTTTTCTAGGCAAGGGTCTGTACTTTTTCCTGGATAAAGGAAAATACTCTCCAAGCAACCCAACTGATCCCAAATAGATGATGGCCGAATCGGACATAAAAAAGCCTTCAATGCAACACCTTCAACTCAGGAATCTGCTAAACTTGCAGGAATCCTAAGTCAGAAACACAAGACTTATTATTTGGGTACATAAAATTATTTAAATGGCAACAAACCTCAAGTGAGAAACACCAACAATTCTTGCACTGTTAATAGCTCAATACAGAGGAAAGATACCGAAAAGAAGATAACAGGATAAGTACAAACAAGGACTAGTTTGAAACACAATCTTTCCACCCATCATATCCGGGGAAAGGCAATAAGATAATAATCGCATAAATTCTAAGGAACAGAGGTGTGTCAGAACTCACTAACCACATCTATAAAATGAATAAAAAAACGACGGAAGAGTCTAGATTCCCAGCAAGATATACGGAAGTAGTTCGCCAAATCAAAATCAAAATATCTGGAAAACCTGAACTACACTCGGCTTACAGCATAAATCTATTTTATCCCGAACACATCAAGTCTGATTTCAATAAATGGCACCAATGGATTTTAAGAAAATGGGGTATCATCGCTATGCGAGCGAAAATAACCCCCAGACAAAAACTCACACATTAAATCTGCACCGTGAAATAATATTGCAAAACCCAAAAATTGATTACAAGTTCATAATTCCCAACAGAGATATTTATTTAATGAATCTGAAACAGAATTGATTTCCCCTGAACCTAAAGCAGACATAGGTTTGTAACCAAAAACCGAGATTGTTAACGACAGATGCTTGCGTCCGCAGAATTAAAAATAAAATAAAATCGGTAACAATCAACCAAACGCATTAAAGATACAACCGAGAACTGAAACTGAATATGATCAAAGCTTGCTCAACTAGAAGATGACGACAATTATAACCAAAAACCAAAAAAAAAATCAGATTAACAAGTTTAAACTATAATAATAAAAATAAATGACCGATAAGAAACTCGTACCTGCAGCCAATCGAGCAGAATCGATGCGGCAGAATGAGAGTTAAGCAATTAGAAAGGGATTGGAGGAGGAGAAAGATAGGGCTAGGGTTGAGATGAATGCCGGTGTGTTAAGACACGTCCTTCCTGCCCGTTCCTATATATATAGACGCTCGAGAAGGAGAAACCAAACCCTTCCTTCACGATTTTTCCCAGATAATTTCCTAATTGACCTAATTAATTAATTAATTAATTAAGTTCTCAATAAACAAAAGACAATTGTGCTAAATGCTAATTCAGCTCTTATCTTTAGATTTTTATTCTTTGGCTCTTGTGATGGAAAGCATTCGTTATAGAAAAAATATTTGCGTATAATTAGTAATATTAATCCATAAATATCAAAAATATTATTTTAAATATATATTTTATAAAATAATGAAATTTACTTAAAATTAAAAATGATGGAATGAAACATTGTGTGATCCTGCCAAATACATATAATGCTAGTTATAATTTTGTCTGAAAAGAGATTTAAGTTATTTATCCTAATAATTTGTTAGGGATCATTTTATTTTATTCAGATAATATTTTATAAGAATTTGATCATTTTTAAGTTGAATTATCATTCTAAAATTATCATTATCTTACATCGCCTCCAAATTTTTGAACTATCTTTCAGAGCTTAACAAATTGCAGTCAATCATTAAATTTTGATTCTAATTTAAAATAAATCATTCAGTAAAACCACAATAAAATTACATGAGTAATAATATAAGAATTACGGTTAAGATGAAATCTCATTGAATAATTTGATTGGTGAAATTTTGAATACACACACACACATGAAATTTATAACAAACCAACGTTTATACAATGATAATACTTATCAAATTTTGGTAGAGGTTTAATCACGCCATGTTTCATGCTGGGCAACGCGAAGGAGCTTAAATATGTATGGTATTGTAAAATGTTGCCATCAGTTCTAAATATAAAAACGAGATAACTTAAACTTACTCATTTATTCTTATGTATAAAATAGAGGAAGAAGGTTTTTTTAAATCTTATTTATAAGTTACGTTATTAAATTTTTAGAATGAGTATAATATTTGTTCTTCATTTATTATATTGTAAATGATTTTTTTTGAAAGATATTAAATAAAGATAAAGTTAGAAAATTATTATATTTTAAACAAGAGTCAATGTAGTTTAAGATTTTTCTTAGTTTGTACAAAATATGTTAGAAGTGTCCTATAAATAAGATCAGATGAGTAGATAGTTAGATGTTTATAATAAATATGTGCTAACTTCATTAAAATACCCTCTTTAACTATTATCCTCATTAATGATAAGTCTATTTAATATATGTCACCAATAAAAATAGATAGAAAAAAAAATTTATTACAAATAATTAAATAGACAACATTGTTTAGTTGCTCTAACATAATGCTATGGAAATGAGGAACGCCAACGTGAGCCTCA